TTTTTATATTATAATTTCTTGTTTCTTCTCGGATATATTTCTCTGTAGTTTCTAGCATCAGCACAGTTGTTTCTCATTTGTAGATATCTTTCTCCTGAAATATAAGGATTCTTACAATTGGAAAGTCATTGATAAACCTGATAGCTTTCATATAATGTATACATAAGTGACTGTTTTTCTATTAAACCCGATTGATGAACAATGAATGCTATTTACACAGGATCTAATTTTTTATTTATTTGATTGTCTCGTACATTCTTTAAGATCTTTATTTTAGATCCCTTGGTGCTTTTAGACAGTCAAGTCTTCTTTCAATATTGCATCACAGCGACATGTTAAATTCTATATAACCGCTTATTTAAAAGTTGAAAAACAATTTTTATTCCTTCACAAAAACACACACACAACGGTTTGGGAGAATGTCTAGCCCCTTTCGTCTGTGTGAAATCGGACAATTTATTAAGTTAAAATTATAATTAAAACTCTTAAAAATATTTTGTATGAGATGTGTTTAGAATTAAATTTATTGACTAATACTAGCTTATGGTCCTCGCGTTGCTGGAGTATTCATCATAATTTATTAGACACGTAGAGGTTTTTCATCTTTTCCCGCCCTGCAGCGGAACGTATTTGTACGAGTATCTATTCTATTGCATCTCGCCTGCCCGACCTCTCTCTGCCCCGCACCTACTTGGAAATTCCCTGTCTTACTCACTCACTTTCTCACTAAAAATGTTTGTATTTTTTTTAATTGGTGTTCCCGCCTCCACACTTAACTCACTTTATAACTAAAATTAATTTAACATATACTCATTTTCGTAGAAATTTATTATTATTCCCATACTTTCAAACCGTTGCCACATTGTAAAACTTATTATTTTTCATTTTTTATCAACTAGCGTATTTATAAAAAAAGTTTGTAATTGATCTTCGACCCCACATAGAGGAAATGAAAATATAAAGTTCTTTTAATTGAATTCGAGTTCTGTTGTAGGATCCTTGGTAAATAGTGGCCGACTTGCCATTAACCACTTAGACAATTATAATATCTCAAAAAGTTCCAGATCACACAGTGGATCTCGGCTAGTCCAAAGTTTTTCTGATATCTAAAAGCTCTTTTGCTTTATTGTCAGCGTTGAAAGCAGTTTTGACACACATTCGATTCCTTCCATTACTATTATTTTTCATTAATGCTACTTCTCCTTGCCGAACATTCATAAATTTAAATAATTATTCCTTCAATAGCCGAAGGGACGTTGTCTCCACTATAGTAAAAAGCTTTCCTACAAACATTTCCTACTCACCCCGTCCCACTCGCAAATACGTAATAATCATATTTAATATACTACAAATGAAGCAATAACTATTTCATGTAGATCACTTCTCTGCACTCATACCTTTTTACGACAATATCAAACCTCCAACAGCGAAAATGTCGTTTTCCAAACATTTCGTATATGAATAAGTATACTTCTCTCTTGTACACGTAATACATTCACGCCCAGATGCAATCAAAATCCATATCCAAGTTATTTTTGTAAGTAGAGTGAAGAAAAATAGTGAGAATTATTCGTAAATCTAAACATTTTCATTAAAAAATTGACGACTCAACAAATTCCTCAGCTATTCTACAGATATACGCCATTTGTGTATTGATGAACTCAATCGTATACCTCAGTCGTCATCCTGTGGTGGCCCTCAGGCAAAATGTTGCACATTGATGCTCTCTTGAGTGTGATGCAATGCTAGGCGAAAAGTCCAGAAAAGTAATTATTTTGTAAATATATGAAGGTTTACGGTTGTAAATCATAGGCTATAGCACTCCTGACCTTCAAAGGAAGCTAGCACATTAGTTTCATCGCTATTCGTCCAGTACATTCAGAGACTATCGTCCTGTAAAGCATCAACGTCTAAGACATCAGCAACCACTGTTGCATGTAACGGTATGGTAACTGTGAGGATGACACGAGATGATGATGGTAGGGGGTAAAGGACGAACACAATACAACCATACCCGAGGCGGGACTCAAACCCGCGATCCTTCGGTCCGAGATCGCTACGGCATCTCTGCCTTAGCGATCTCGCCCACCGGATCTGGCTACGGACTTGTGTCTTTATAGATTAGTATAGATAAGCCCATTCTTGAATTATTATAAAATGAACGTCAGAGAGGCTGTCTAAAAATAGTGTATGAACAAATACGGTAAAAGATTTTATTTTGCTTATAGATTGCTCCATTCGTCCTCAGGGCCTCCTGTCGCAACCGTTCCTACTTGCGAACTAAAATTACATTTTTACTTAGTACTAGTATGATTTACTTACTACTAGTATAATAAATAACGTTTCTTGAGATTCTAATATTTTATTGTATTAGCACTCGCCTTTGCAAACAACTTTATCAATGGTAACTGACACTATACTTTGGTACTACTTTGTACCATACTAGACCAAAACTGTTAAAAATATCATAACCAAAATTTTTTTAAAAAATAGGTGATTAACTTTGAATTTTACCTAATGTAAAAATAGCCAGAAGATCGGAAAATAGCAATGCCATATTTTTTTTAAATTTAAGGTCGCATCAACTTCTAGCTGATTTATCTGTATGGTACAGAGATGATGACATGATATGGTGATGACAGAGACTGAAAGGACGAATGCGAACGCAAACACAACCACGCACGAGGCGGGACTCGAACCCGCGATCCTTCTGTCCGAGATCGCTACGGCACTGTTGCCTTAACGATCTCGGCCATCCGGACTGATAATGCCATAACTGTTGTCTTATGATTGTGATAATTACTTTCGACGAATTCTAAATAGTGCAATAAATATTTATTGTTAGAAACTTCTTGCCACTACTTACATCTTGCATTTCCTGTAGCAGTTCTTCGTCTAAAGATTTTAAAGCTAAATTTGCGGCAACTCTACTTGGATTCACGTCATCCGCCAAAGGAACTGAAACAACACGAAAAACGTCGGGGTCAGAGCAAGAGTCACTCGCTGACTGGGGGAGAACTCTAGCGGCCGGCTGCTCTCATCGGTGTTTATCCGTAGTTTCTCCGATCAACGCCAGGCGAATGCCGGAGCAGTACCAGAACAAACGGGCCACAGATCGTGCGCGATCTTTCCTTCCTCTTCCATGTCGTTTCCTCGCCCCCTTACTCACATATACTTACACTTACATCCGGTTCATTAGCACAAATATCGGAAGAACTGTCTACCGCTGAGGGGTTCTCCTGGCTGGGGAGGGGCCGCACTGGTGGGAGGCAGTTGTTCGGAGACAAACCCGCTAGCCGTCAGTCAGCCAATGCTGCCTTTAAAAATGCACCTGAAAAGGAACTTACACACGGTGCGCTTGATGAAGTTTGTCTTGTACTGTGTTCTACAAACGTTTCATTAGGCCATCATTGTAGGGAGAGTTTGTTCGTAAAGCAGAAGTTGTTTTTCAAGTAATTTTAGGAATAAGTATCTCACAAAAATCTCGTCTTCTACAAAAAGCAATCAACGAACAAGACGTGGTCCGACCTTAGAAATCAAGTGAAACGTCTACCAGCCAAAGTCACAGTATTACCTTACCTATGTATACACCATTCTGATTCTTTGCCATTTGCATCTAGAGTCCTGCAGGGGTCGACATAAGGCCCTATTCTCGTCCTATTGTACGTAAACGATATGCCCTCGACGATTAGAAACGGAAGAACAGTTCTCTTTGCGGACGATACGAATATTCTTTGCAATAAAAAACTAAAAAGTACTATATCAGATATTTCAAATTGGTTTCGTAATAAATTAATAGTAAATGCAAAGAAAACAGTTTCAATGCAGTTCTCCATTTCAAATACACAGCTCGACAATTCACTGAAAATGAACGGCGTGCCATTGACTGATGTTAAGGTAACAAAACGTTTAGGCCTTTCAATGCAGTCAAGCCTTAAATGAAACGCCCATTTTAATGAATTGAACACTAAATTAAGTTCTTTATGCTACTCTTTCAGAATTCTTTCAAATTCAGTCAGCCTACACACTGCTCGTTCTGTATATTTCGCGAATGATCCTTCTCGCCTGAGATATAACATATTATTATGAGGAAATAAATCTTATATCTCCAGACTTTTAGATTACAAAAAAGAATTCTACGAATAATAGGCAAATCCCACCCACAAAATGACTTACTTACGGGCGGAATATATTTTCCGCAAACGCCGTTGTCTATAACTACAACACTCGACGTAGTAATCATATTCATCAGGTAACAGTATCAACAGTTCACTACAAAAAATTCACATATAATACACGTGCATTATTTTACATCTTGCCAGATGACATTAAACGATTAAATTCGATACACAAGTTTAAGTTCCAAATCTTATCTGCTGCACAACTGTTTCTATAGAGAGACTATAGAGACTATATTAGAGACTACACTGAGCATCCAAAAGGAGAGTAATATTAGTTTAACAATGACATTTTCTGTATTGTATATCATTTGGATTGCATGATTGTAAAGAACCTGTAAGAAGTATTGTATTTCACCTTCTGGCTCAATGACACCCATCTCGATCAGGTTTTCGTCCAGTATCCTTAATCCACGAGCAAATGCTGAGATTTTTCCTTGTTTTGCTTCTGGACCTAAATGCAACTTCAAATTAACTTCTCCCCATAGCATATTACAGACATTTATTTACGTCAAAAACGGTTAAAAACTAAGTAAATGTTAATATCACGGAGACTAGCACAAAATTGCATTCCATTTCTCGAGAAACCTACCCCATCAAATACGTCTGGACGAAAATTACTCTGATTTGTATGAGAAAATATCACTTATTTTAGAAGAGAGATTTCGTACAAAAAGATAATCTGTGAAAAATTTGAAGAAACAAATCTTAGATTCACAAAATTGAAAATGTAGTGTCATTGTCTTAATAGCTTTCCATAAAATGTTCTTAAGAACACTAAAACATAAAATAATCATACACATTTAACAATATAAAACTTACATATAAACAATTCATTTACGAGATCATCCTTCGGTTCCAACAAGAACGATGAAACTTCTGTTGAATTATCAGAAAAATTACGAAGTGCTTCTCCTACTTTCGTGTAGTTCAATGTTCCATCAACATCCCTCTGAAATAAAAAAAACATTAAGGAAAAAATGTCAATTTTACGTTGTACAGAAAGGCAAAAAAATAGCTTTTGGAATTTCTCATATGTCAGGTATTTGAACGAAAATGAGATAATAACAATTTTTTGCGCGTCTTTAATGCTACCGCAGAACAAATAATTTAAAAATTTCGAGACATTTTTGTTAAAATTGTGAAAATGATCTTGAAGCATCATATAAAGTACCTACAGGAATCACAATATCCCTTTCACTCTCAGAGAGCTTTGAGATCATTCAAATTGTTTTAAGAATATCAACTTCAACGTAAAATATCAACTGCATGGTTTTAGATAGAGCCTACAAACACTAGCATTGATCGCAGACGGAGAGAGGCAGAGCGGAGAGAGAGGCAGAGCGGAGAGACAAATTTAATGTAATGCGGGGTGTGTAAGCAAGGGGTGAGGATTGGAAAGGAAAATTGCACACAGTCTTGTTGCACTGCTTACGCATTCACGTGGCCTTGATGAGAACGGCCGGCCGCTGGAATTCATTTCCAAGGAACGGTTGAATTCCACTTAGTGGTGTCGGAAATTTTGCCACCGTCGGAACGCTACCCTTAGGACCTTCCGGCCACAGCTGCTGCAGCGACGTCACTTGATTCGCTGTCACATGAACCGGTCTCTTTTGAAGAGAATAAAAACTAAGCGATATCAATACCGAAGAAAAGATCGCGAGGCTCGCTGCTTTGATCAGTTGTAAGAAGGCCGGACATGCCCCTACCTTTTCGCCTTCCTCATTTTTCTATTTCCCAATTGGACGGCACCTCCGTTCCCGAATGTTGATATTTCACTAAACGTCTACTTTTTATTTTTTATATTGATTTCAAAATATATTCAGCTAAAAAATATTTCAACGTAGCACAATTATTTCAAGACTTAAAGCTCACTTACAATATTTAATTTTGTGGAGAAACAATCATAAAATTTCTGAAACTCTTCAGATGGAAACCGAATTCCCATCTCTGTTACTCTCATGCGACGAAAGTCCTCAAGCATTTCATCTGAAATTGAATCACAGCAATTTATTGTATACCGTAACGACTATAACAGTAATTAGTTATTAATAATTAATGAGAGTTCAAACAAACAGGTCATATATCAACCCTCTGGTAGTCGATGCAATTTCGTGGTGGATCAGTGGTGCTCATTATTCAATATAAACCGGCTATTGATTTATGTAGCCAGTTAAGATCACATCGATTAATTTTTTTGTTGAAATTGATAATTAATTATTTCCTGGTGTAAAACAACACATAATAATAAATTTTAAAAATATCGTTCCTCTTCTTTCGTATGCTTCGTTCTTAGATGTTTTTAAACCTCAAGAATCTCTCCCCATTGCGAAAGAAGGTTATCCTCGCCATATGCAAGGAACACAAGTTACGGTAAGCTCTTAAACGTAACCATTACACAAAAACGAAGTTTAGAAACTGCACAGCTCAGAAGCAGATTCTTCTTCCATTATACAAAATAGAGAGATTTACAAAAAATTGGGTACGAAATTATATTTAAGGTACTTTTGTGTTTCACTCGCGTACGTATTATAGAACCGTCGATTCGCTAGATGCGAAGAGTCGATTTCGACGTCATGACTATTATATCAGATCTGTAGCTCGATTTTCGAAGCAACATAGTTTTTAGTACACGGAAGCGAACATTTCTGGTCATTAGATATTGTAAAAAACGCTGTTTTGTATTATTTATTCTGTTGTCAACGAACGTGAGTACTAAGAGAGGGAGAAGGTATTCCAAGACAAAAGAAAACGCGCGGGTATAACCATTCCTTTAATATGTGTGCTACATATTATGGAGAAAAACATAAAGGGATCGATGGATGAAACAAATCGTTTCAAAGAGTCGGAAGAAAGAAAACTTGTAGGACTCCATATTGTGAACTAAATTACCACACAGATCAATCATAATATAAATATTTAGAAAACGTCATGTTTCAATTACGTACTATTTTTCATTTATATTATCAATAATAACAACCAATAGTGTTATTACAATACAACTAATCAAAAGTTTCAAAAACCGCTGAATAATATGAATGGAGATAAGAAATAGAAGTTTGATGACAGGCCTTCAAAATCCTAACAGTTAAACTGCATATATAAACAAGGTATTTATGAAATTCTAAAAAGAAAAACGAATTTAGGCACAAAAATTCCTATTGCAGTTTCGTGATACCGAAAAGTTGAAAATTCGTCAGAACCTTGCTTTGTGGGCCCTTGATATCGAAGAATTCGCTTACGGCAAAACTTGAGTCTGAACAACGCTAGCAGATAATCTCTAATGAATCTGAATTATCCATTTTATCGTGTGGGTTAGTTCATAATGATATTAACACATTACCTTGGGCAGCACATTCTAAAGGGAGGAAACCTGCATGAGTAAAATTAACAAGATATTTATGACCTTGGGTGCACTGTCCTCGTCCACAATTTGGCAAAGATTGAAATAGCATCTACGGAACCCTCAACCTCCCAGAAGTGAAAAATAGTGGTGCTAAAACAGCATTTTCACGCAAAATTACGCGAAAAGTACTCAAATAAAGAAAAAATGTACGATCTTATTTAAAAATCTATCTTTGAGGACCAGGTTTCATTAAGGAAAAAGTATCTTAAGTTATCGTAAGTTTGGTTGTAGGAAGACGTTGAAAAAATGTTTAACTTTAGCAATTTTTGAAAAATCAGGGTTTTTAACAAATATGAGGCCTGCACCATTCTCGTATATGTCCTTCACAATATCCAACTACAAAATTTAATAAAAAACAGAACCTTTTTTTTGAAATTTTTGGAAAAGTCCTGGGAGTTCGTCGCAAAGTCTCGCCCAAAATTAAAATATCGGTATCAAATTTAAGGCGCCGCGACATCAGCCAGGTCGTTTGTAGAATATCCATTTTGCAAAAAGTGGAAAAATTTTGAAAATAAAAAACACAAATTCTGGCTACACAACGTGTTAGAGGAATTGTTTTGTTGATGATAAATTTATCAACTGGAGTAATCCTATTTTTCGCTACTAGGATTCATAAATAAGACTTAATTAACGGCTCTCTGTTTCCTCCATAGAGAGAAATTAAAAAAGTAATTGTTTTAAGTTTGAATAAGTGAGGTTTTAGCGATTTGTGTATCATATTTTTTAATGGTTGAACAGATTAAAAAACATTTTTGGAAGAGATGGGTTTGCAGTTGTAGGTCGTCAATAATGAATAGTTTCGTAAAAATCTTATGTTTTTTATTTGTTAATTAGATAATAGTTTATTTTAAGTGCTTAAATCATTAATAAGGAGCAAATCTTACCTGTTGACTCCGTTAGATTTTGAGAACATTCTTCAGCAATTTTTTGTGTTTCTGAAGATAAAGTTGGAAGCTAAAAAGAAGAACGAAAATTATTGTTACATACTGAGGCTTTATGTTAACATTAATACTACTACATTTAAATATTAAATATTATCTCTAAAGTTTCACGATTTCAAAAACACTTGTGAGGAATTAGACAATGATGTGTATTCTCCATTAGTAAAATATGTTTGCCTGGAGATGTTATGAAATAGAATACTGTAAGCTTCGAGAATATTGGGGAAGAAAATGGGTTATATCACTGTAACCGTAAGTTTGAGGGAACAAATTAGTGGATGCTATTCGAGTCATAAGTTTGAAAACAATATGTATTTCCTGAAATAATTTCTTTATGCGAGTAATTTTCGCAGCCATTGAGCGTATATATTATTTCTGGTTTCCGTTCCGTTTTTGTGTTTCGTGTCGCCCCGCCGCAATCAATCTACCAAAGCATTTTACCTCTTCGGTCAGAGGCTTCACGTCGTAAACCGAACTTCAATTCTCGAAAGAGTATTAACTCAAAATTAGTAATTTTTGAGCTGTGCCAGAAGTATGATTGTGCAAATGACAGAAGTATGAATTACATACCAAATTTTTAACTAGAGAAATGTACAATTAATATTAAATTGATTTTTTCGAGTTACATTGCTCCAAAGAGTATGTTTGAAGAAGGGAAGTTATTCTCACCTCAGGAGCACAAGAGCTGTAGGGCAGCAAGACAATGATGGCCGCCAGGCTTACGCGAATAATACTTGTGCAAGAAACAGCCTTCATGGTAAAGGTAAAATATCGTCTGTGTCGGTGAGAGTACGTGCGTCTGCAGAAAACGCGCGGGCATTCCCACTCTTATATGACGTAGTTCTTGTCACGTGTTATGACAAAACACGAACTTGCGATTTACTCATCTAAGTAAATTATTACACCTTGCCAAATGAGGCTTAATTTTAGCAAGAGGAGATATCCTATCATTTGAGATAACCCAGCCGTGCAAAAATTCAAACGTATAGAGTTGAGGAACTCCAGCGACATTATGTAGAAACACACTAATTTTCTTGTCATTCCTTAAGAAATATTTTAACTTATTGTCGACACCCCGATATCGCTACGTGCCGCCTTGTCACTTCACCCTCGCCTATGTAGCAAGAGCTCGTGCTGTGTACGAAGGTGGAACTCTTCACAAGGACTGTCAGACTGCAGAAAAAGTAATAGTTACAGACCTCGATCTGGAAGGATTTGTCAAATGGGTGTATTTGGCCTACGCTGAATGATAAGTTGAGAATTAAGGACACATTCAATAGTTCGTTCCGTGTATTAAGCAGTTGAATTGAATTGAATTGAATTTGCCTTATTTTACGTGGCGAGACTCGGGCCATCAGGCCAGATCTCCCGTCTGACCACGCAAATTTCGCTAAGCTCCTTTCATCAACTAGCGGAGAAAGGAGATATTTTATGGGCGAGAAAACGGCGATTTGAATTTAGCTCAGAAGCGTTATTTAGCCTTGAGGATCTTTTACATGCAAGTAAATCTACTAACACGGGACAGCCGGCTTTACTTCCCCTCCGAAGGAAGGCGAACGAAGGATTTTTTCGCCCTTAAACGATCGGGTTTGAACCCGCGAACTTGGGTACAACAGTCCGGTACGCTAACCGTTACACCATTGCTGCCGCAATTCTACTTTCCCGCCTGAGATATAGAATACTCTTTTGGGGAAATGCATTCTATATTGCACGAATAATACGCAAATACCGTCTGCGTGATTACTGCAAGACTCTCCTGCGAGATTTTATTTCGAGACCATAGTAACTTTCAACATTTAAAAAAAACTCTCGTCGCCTCAGATAATCGGTTATACTTCGTGTTGTAATTGAGAAGGAAATGTAATATTTTGCGATATTACGGAACAAAAGATATCTCATTTATGCATTATTGAATTTTTTAAATGCATTTTTTCTTAATTTTTTATTTTTTTTATTTCTTTCTTAACTCCGTAATTGAGAAATTCGAAAAAAAATACTAATTTGTTCTCCTTATTTATTGTTATATTGTTTTACCTTATTTGTTCGATCTCATTTCTTCGAATGTGAGTGCACTTCACTTTGCAAAAGGAAAACTCCCTTCAAGTCCTTATGCTATGATGAAAAGTCACGAAAGGAGCTACAGTGTACTACGGGACGACCGAGACTCAAGGAAGGAACAACACCACGAAATTGCCAAGGTATTCTGCGTGTGAATCTCAAAGAGAAGACAGAAGGATCAAGAAAATTCGAGCAGGCATTCTCAGAGAGCTTAGAAACTAAATCAAACTATGACGGAGAGAGAGAGATCTTACATATTTTGATGCTCTTCCTCCAAAAGAAGGAAGAAACAATATTGGCAATGAATGCATGACCGTGTACAGTGAAGAGAGAAGAATGTGTCTTTTTAATATAGGTTTCTCTTTTACCTGTGACAATATTTTCTTTATCAGCAGTGATTCGGTGAAATTTCGAAGGCCAGCGTGCTCAGTCATGATATTGCATTGAAAATGCTGGGAAAGAATACTTTCCTTAGTGATTAGTAGTTTCAACAAATTAATTCATATCTTGGACAAGTTTAAGCATTTGCACGAAAACTAGAAGGACTATTCTCGTAGTACATTTGGTGCTGTAATGCTCTTTTGAGCAAGTTAGTAAAGTATATGGATGTTACATGCAAGCAAGTTAAATTTATTATAAAACAGATCGATTTATTAATCATTAAAGATATGTGGAAATATAGTTGGCACAGCGTATGATAGCCCAGATGCTGCTACTTCATCTCAATTTTTATTGTTTATATCATATAACATCTTGTCCTATATTATTTCAACAGAATATATGAGTTTTGTGCACACGCAACCGATCTTCATAAATGAGGTCACTAAAGAAAGAGAACTTCACCAAGACGTAACGATTTGTACTTAGACTGTGAAAATATGAAGGATTTGTTAAAAAATGAATGCAAATATTCACGTGAAATGCATCGAACAGCCCTCTGGCAGCATTATTAAAACTATTTAGTTGAATAATTTCAAGACGACGGGATCTAGGGCTTTAAAATCTGGAAGTTTGAAGCCGAAGGCCACGTAGCTCACAGAAAGAGAGCTTCTTGGACATTCTATTACATTTTGTTGACACTTTACGGCGCATCTCGATACAACCCCACCAGTTCGGAGATTTGCAGAATCTGAAACTGTATGGGAAATGAAACTCATTACTTGATATTCTAGGCAATTAAATTGCACGGGTTTACCTCTCATGTGATAAATTTAAATAATATTCCAAAGAGTAGCCCTTCCAAAGAGTAGTATCCTTGCCCGATTTTGTATTTTGCATGCAAAACTTTACATTGCTTTCTTAAGAGCACAAATATTTTGTAATATTTTTGTGACTATCAAAGAGAGCGAAAAGCTAACTGTCAAGAAGATTGTGTTATTACTTCAAATGTTTTTTAAGAAAGTGTTGTGAATTGTTCCAAGGACTTATCTATAATACTGAACAACTCTTCATTAAAAATTTGTTTGAAACGTCAATTTCATTGTTCTTTATTTTTATTTTTAGTTCTATTAGTACATTGGAAGATACCTTTTTAATTTTTTAAACAAATAAACACGTCTCGTTAGCAACTTCTCCTCTTAATAAGGAAAAGAATGGATAGAGAAGAGGGTGGAATTCAACTTGCATGGGTACGCTACTTCTACACAAGTATGATACGTTTCGAAGTGGGTCTGCGAGAGGATTCAGAGAAAGTAAATACAACAGAAACGTGACAACAAAACAACGGTTTTGATGCAGCGTCTTATAGAGCATCACATTACAATCAACAATAGACAATTACTGTCGTTATACTTTCATAGAGCAACAAATAGGAATATCTGTTTCATCCAAAAAAGTGCCGGATATATACTAATGTGGCCTTCATTGCAGATTGACTTCTCATTAGAAAGAAGTATCAAACGAATGAAAATGAATATTAAACGGACGAGATATAATTATTTGAATAAGTGAATGTGATTCAGTTAATTAAACTGATATTTCTTTTGATTCGCTTAAGAGAGGATGTGTTTGTCGACTGTTTCGTAGGGAAATGGAACTAGATATTTTCTTTATGCCGTCTTAAGTTTTCTTTTTATTTTGTAATGCCCATAACTTCTCGGGATATGTCGGGCGCCAGCGTTCGTTCCTTCAACGAATGATGAAGTGAAGAGGTCAAAAAATCAGTCCATTGACTAGTTTCTGACAAAATTCAATTTATCCTCACCATGAGCTGCCGGAAGTACAGTACTCGAGAGCGACACATTACTATGTAAACTTATGTACGAGCTCATAACCTAAACATTAATGAACAAATTCCTTAACACTACATTAATAATTATTTCTATGAGAATCTATGCATAATGTTAACTACAATACACAAGCCTGAGCGCGTCCATTCTTAATCTCTTGTCAAAATGTCCTGCAAATGACCCCGAGTCATAACTACGGGAGATAGTTCGACTTCGGTTAAATAACCTGATATTCAACCACTGCTTGGCGGTGCTCCTCAGAACCGCCCGGATGGCCGTCCTCATTCGAAGACGGCGGGCGGCCTCAGGTCACCGACCTCCCACTGGGGGTTCCTCCTCGGCTGCAACGTGTAGTGCGACGAATCCTGTCAACTCGTGGCTCAGTCAGTAGACACACCCGTAACTGCCGTAGTTTAGTGCGCTTGAATGGCCCGATATGGCACTTAGCAGCGGATGCAATCGATCTTACGCGAATAGTGACGCAGGATCTTCCATCTTCCCGCCCAAGTTTACCTCCGCGGTAATTGTTAATAAGTGCTTACTCGAGAATCTGAATGTAAGTAGCTACTCAAATCTGAATCTAGAGGCTCTATTCGGAATCTGAATGCTAAGTGTCCATTCGAGTAATCTGAATCCTAAGTGTCTCTTCGAGAATCTGGATCCTATAGTGTCTCTTCGAGATCAAGCCTCTAGAATCTTGACTAAGTT